TCCTCAGATCTCAGCCTTCTGAGTAGCTAGGATTACAGGTGTGAGCCACCGGCACCCGGCTTTAACTTTCTTAATGACTACAAATAAAGATTTGTAATTTCATAAGTCTTTCAATAAAATAACATTTTATTCTAGACAAACACTAACTTAAATTTTTTTTCCAACGATAGCTGCTAATATACTTAAGTAAAACTCTTAAATATCTTAAAAGTTATAAATATAAACTTACTCTGGTCTTGTTCCTGTTTTGTCACCTAGAAAATTCAAGAAGATGCAAAAATTGGTAACAATCCAATTCAAATGTTTTAAATCGACACAAATTGAGATATAAATATGAACTAAATAAAGCAGTTTTTAGCTTGCTTGTTAAAACAACAGTAATGTCATGACTTGACATGTATTTGGAAAAACAATGAATTATTACTGAGACATGAACCCATAAGTAGACATGTTATATACCTGACCTGCATCTATTTCTTCAAGAAAAATTTTCTGGAGTTGGAAATGTGGCTTCGTGGTACAGTGATTGTCTATCACGCATAAAACCCTAGGTTCAATTCCTCAGGACCACATAAACAGAAAAAGCTGGAAGTGGTGCTGTGACTCAAGTGGCAGAGCACGAGCCTTGAGCAAAAGAAGCTCAGGGACAGTGCTCAGGCCCCAGACTGGCAAAAAATAAAAATTCTGGGGCTGGGAAGGTGGCTCAGTGGTAGAGTGCTTGCCTAGCATGCATGAGGTCTTAGGTTCAATTCCTCAGCACCACATAAACAGAAAAAAAAAGCCGAGGTGGCGCTGTGGCTCAAGTGGTAGAGTGCTAGCCTTAAGATGAAGAGCTGAGGGACAGCGCCCAGGCCCAGAGTTCAGGCCCCACGACAGGATCAAAAATAAATAAATAAATAAATATTTATATGTATATATATATTTATATATATAAATATATAATATATATGATAAATACATATAATAATATATATTATATATATATAAATAAATATATATATATATATATATATATATATAAGAAAAGTTCTGTTTTAGCTGTTTTCCACAAAATATGGGACAATTTATACCCTGACTACCAGTTTAAGTCTATATAGCTTATTTAACACTTTTTTAAATTGGATACTCTTTTTCAGATCACTCAAACTTCTCCAGTCTAATAATTTCTTAATGCAATCTGGAAATACCCTCAAACAAGTTCCTACATACCTTTTCAACTGCCACAAGACCAAGTACCTTCACTTTAACTCCCCAACAACAGACATTTAAACAAAATCTTTGCCAGTCATGCAGGTGAAAAATATCAACTAATTGTAATTTCAACACATTTCTTTTTTTTGGGGGGGTGGGTCTAGTCATGGGGCCTGAACTCTGGGCCTGGGCGCTGTCCCTCAGCTCTTCAGCTCAAGGCTAGCACTCTACCACTTGAGCCACTGCGCCACTTCCGGCTTTTTTCTTTTTGCTTATGTGGTGCTGAGGAATCGAACCCAGGGCCTCATGCATGCAAGGCAAGTGCTCTACCACTGAGCAACCTTCCCAGCCCTCAACACATTTCTTACCATACTAGTGAAGTAAACATTTTCTTCAAATGGTCATCAGATAAATGTATTTTTCTATTTGTGCAGTGCCTTCTCATATAACAACTTGTACATTTGTCGTGAGTTATTTTTCTTGATTTAAAGTATTTTTTAACTTAAATTTAAGAATCCCTTGACTCATATATTATCATAATTCATACATCTATTTCTTTTTTTTGGTCCGGTCGTGGGGCCTGAACTCTGGGCCTGGGCGCTGTCCCTCAGCTTCTTTGTTCAAGGCTAGCGCTCTACCACTTGAGCCACAGCACCACTTCCCGCTTTTTTTTTCTTATGTGGTGCTGAGGAATCGAACCCAGGGCCTTAGGCATGCAAGGCAAGCGCTCTACCACTGAGCCACCTTCCCAGCCCCTCATACATCTATTTCTAACACTGGACCCATGTAAAATATTTCTATTTCAGAAATGTATTTTTATAAGTGGGGGGGAAGCATTTAAAAACCATGTACGTGCTGGCTGCTGGTGGCTTATGCCTAATCCTTGCTACTCAAGAGGCTGAGATCTGAGGATCACAGTTCAAAGCCAGCCTGGGCAGCAAATTCCTGAGACTCTCATCTCCAATTAAGGACCAGAAAACTAGAAATGGAGTAGTTATGTCTCAAAGTGGTAGAGTGCTAGCCTTGAACAAAGAAGCTCAGGGACACCATTCAAGTCCTGAGTTCAAGCCCCACAGCAAACAAAAAACAAAAAGGCCTTTATTTTACCTCTTCCATTTGACCGTTCAAATATACTCTTCTACAAAAATATGGACCAGGTCTGGCTCCGGTGGCTCAGGCTTATAATCCTAACTACTCTGGTGGCTGAGATCTGAAGATTATGGTTTAAAATCCCCGAGAGACTCTTATCTCCAGTTAACCACTCAGAAATGGGAACTGGCACTGTGGCTCGAAGTGGTAGAGAACTAGAATACAGCAAAAGAGCTCAGAGACAGTGCCAAGGCCCTGAGTTTAAGCACCACAACCAACAGAAAAAATAATAATTAATTTTTTAAAAACATGGACCATCTCATTGGTCCTAATGGTTTTTCTTTCACAGTTTAATGTCTGTGAAATTAGTACCCTAGTGATGTCTTAAGATTTGCTGAGACATGCTAATGAGAGTAAGAGATTTAATTTTTTTCCCCAAATAATTCACTAATTTGGAGAGCTGATGTCACTGACACCTCATTTTTGCACTGCAATTACACTGCAATTACACTTATGTAAAACAAATTGTGTAGAACTTGGGCTTGTTTCTAAATTGCCATGGATCTTATTAATCTACTAGCTTTGCCTCATTAATTTACTTGCTACTACAAAATCCTTCTAACAGTTCTCCAGACCTGTTCTTGCATTCCTACAGTTATTCCCATACAGCTGTAGTAGACCTCAGTTGCCCTCAATATAATAATAAGAGCCAATGTGGCACATATTGAGCCCTTTATGACCTCTGGCATCTGATCTTTCTGTGCTCCAGCTACAACTGACTTCTGTTAGCTCTTCAAAAGGGCCCAAGCCATTCTTAGGTCTATGTCTCAGTCTATGCTGAACTTCTTTATTGAATGCTGGTTTAATCCCATTGATACTATAGGTCCAAAGCTAACTGAGATAGCTATTAGTACAAAGAGAAATCCTACAGATTAAGAGGAATCATTTGACAGATATAACCAATTAAGAGGAACTGGGGGAAGGTACATGTAATCTTGTGTATTTATTCTACCTATTACTGCTGTTCAAGTCAAGTCTACACTTAAGACAAGATGATGAGGACAGGAACAGAGAAGGAAAATTAACTCTTCATTTCTCTGATTCCTACAGTCCTTTCTGGAGTAAAACAAAATCAACCCCAAGTCACTGACACTGACATTGCTTCTGTTATGTAAAATGGATTACAAAATCTGTGGATCATAATTCTAATTTAAAAGTATTTGTTAATGTACACATTAGATAACTGCATAAGACTCTATCATCACACAGATCTAAACTAAGACAATAAAAGCTTAGATGCCTGGTACAATTTGTAAAATACAAATGATAATGGAAACCTATATAAAACTGTTCTATTGCATACTTAGAGATTTCATACACAAGAATTCTGAATTGTTGGGAAGTTTTCTAAAATTACAATAACATCACTTACTCTTTTTATCTGATGAGCTACTAAAATCTATACCACCAAGTCCTTCATTGCCCGTAGTTGAAGTGGCTGCTGGAGCTCCCAACGTCAAGCTTAAAGCATTCTGTCCAAGCCCTGAAAATAACCTAAGCATCATTAACCAATTTCACAGAAATAAAGACTTTATAAGACGTCTTTGATATGCACAAACATTCATTTTTGTTATTTTCTTAAAACATTTTCTTCAAATGCAGTTTCAGTTGGTATATTTTCAGGTAAATACATCTTATCATTTTGTGTTTTTGGTTGTTTTTTTTTTGGGGGGGGGGAGAGGGAGGGGTTGCCAGTCCTGAGGTTTGAACTCAGGGCCTGGGCACTGTCCCTGAGCTTCTTTTTGCTCAAAGCTAGCACTCTACCACTTGAGCCACAGTGCTACTTCAAGGCCTTTTTCTGTTTATGTGGTACTGACAAATAGAACTCAGGGCTTGTGGTAGGCAAGCACTCTACCACACTCCCAGCCCAATACATCCTATTTTTCAGTCTTATTTTGAATTGCATATTGTTAAATTATTCTAGCATTAATTTACAGGATTTGAGTATAATATTCATGAATTATAAGTGTAATCTTCCAAGTTCTCTCCAGAAATTTAAAGATATAACCTTGAGTATTCAAATCTTATTTCACTGGCAAAAGGAATCAAGGAGATAATGGTTAATCAAAGAGATTAAAGTATATGTAAGTCAAATATCAAAATTTCAGAGCTCTTGTGCTGATAAACCTATGTTTCTATAAATGCATGCATTCCTAAGCTGATACAGTTGTGGTTCTCTTACAGAAGATAAGATGTTATTTTAGAAAGACAAAATAGTAGTTAGTAGCATGTAACAAGTGAACACTAGATTTAAATTCTGGCAATCTGTGATATAAATATAGCTAAATAACTAGTATTATGTCTGGTAAGCATTCCTAATCCAAAAATCCAAAATCTGAAATGTTACAAAAATCAGCATTATGCTGATATTCACCTGGTAAAGTTTATTTAACTATCCCCAAATCTGAAAACTCCAAAGTATAAATACTAATAGCTCCAATCACTTCAGAAAAGATACTGAACCTGTAATTTCCTAAAAAATAATAGCACCTTCAGTTAACATAAGCATGAAACAAGCATTAAGTATTATGTGAAGAGCCTAAGAAAAAGCTGGATATGGTGTTAAATATCTGTAATCCTAGCTACTCAGGAAACAGAGGTAGGAGGATTGTGAGTTCAAGGCCAGTCCACCTCAGAAGCAACACCCTAAATCAAAACAAAAAGGCTGTGGAATGGCTCAAATGGTAGGGTGCTCACTACCAAGTCACATGAGAGACAGTGTTCAATCATGGGCACACTCCCCAACACACACACAAACAAAGTATATACTCAGTACATACCTACTATCTCAGTAAGATATAAAATGACCCATAGTCTCACCATTCTATAATTAAATACTTAATAGTATTTAAATACTTTAATAGTATGTAAATAGTTTAAATACTTAATCCTACAAAAAATGGTAGTTACAATCATCTCACGATTTGATTAGAAGGCATTTGTATCTACAAAATTAGCCAACAATGAAAAAAAAAACTTAGTACTTGGAAGATAATGAAAATTTGAACACTATAATTTCTAGTTTATCTATCCTATCTTTCTCCTTTCTCTTCTAATGACCTGTTTTTCTCCATCAAAGTAGTATCTAGAGGACAAAAACATCTATAGCTTTGTTAAGAAAACATCAAGTCATATTCCTTCCTCTCTCCTATACAACCAAGTACTAGAACATTCGAGGCTCCACAAAACTTCTGAAGTTGGGCTGGGAAGGTGGCTCAGTGGTAGAGTGCCTGCCTTGCATGCATGAGGCCCTGGGTTCAATTCCTCAACATCACATAAGCAAGTGGCACTGTGGCTCAAGTAATATAGTGCTAGCCTTGAGCTGAAGAGCTCAAGGAAAGCACCCAGGCCCAGAGTTCAGGCCCCACAACCGACAAAAAAAAAAAAAAAAAACACTTCTGAAATTAAAATTAAAGTTATTAAAATTAGCCCAAGTATAATCAGAAAACATGTTAATACATTTATGTGGCTGGAGTGCCAACCCATCATTCCTCCAGTTCCCAAAACTATTTAACTGACATTTATTTAAAAAAAATAAAAAAACAAGTTTCAAGTAGGTCACTGATGGCTCTATGCTGTAATCCTGGCAACCTGGGAGGCTGAGATCTGCGAACTGCTGTTCAAAGCCAGCCCTAGCAGGAAACTCCATGAGACACTTACCACCAATTAAATACAAAAAAGAGCCAGAGGTATAACTGTGATTCAAGTGGTAGATTGTTATCCTTAGGCATAAAAGCTTAGGGACAGTGTGTAGGCTCTGAGTTCAAGCCTCAGGACTGGCACAGAAGAAAAAAAAGGCCACTTTTGTGACTCTTTAAATAGTCTCTTTCTTACCTAATCAGACAGTATGGAGAAAGAGAAAAAATATATTCCTGAAGTATAACTAAGATGGCCAATTATATATAAAAAACATTACAGTTTAGTTTTTATATTAAAAGGAAAACAAGCCAGGCACTAAATACTCATGCCTATAATGCTAGCTACTTAGCAGGCAGAGATCTGATGCTAGAAGTTCAAAGCCAGTCTGGGCAGGCAAGTCCCTGAAACTCTGACCCCCAATTAATCAGCAAAAAGCTAGAAGTAGAGCTGGGGCTCAAGTGATAGGGAGTAAGTCAGCCTCAAATGAAAAAGCTAAGGGACAGGACCCAGGCCAAGTTCAAGCCCCAGTACTAACACAAACTAGCAAAGATTAAAGAAAAAGTGTTCTGCACACATCAGAATAAAGTAAACTTAAATACAAATGTTCACTGTTATGGAGAATAAATACTATCAATTACCTGATGTTGCTGTGTTTGCACTCTGGAAAAGTGAACCTCCCAAACCTGCTAAGGTTCCCCCTAAAGAAAGGCCAGTTGATGCAGTTGTTGTTGTTGCTGCTGTTCCTCCCAAATTGTTTAGAGTAAATCCTGTGGATGCTGTAAAAAATGAGATACTAAGCCTTCAAGTAGAAATGGTACATAGGAGCACACAGAAAAACTTATAATTACATTTTTAAAAAAACTGATTTCCATGACAAAAATGGCTCTCTAGAAAAATAACCTGTTGAAGATGAGCATATATACTTGATAAGGAGGAATAACAGCTTAGTAAAATAAGCTGGGCACCAGTGACTCATGCCTGTAATCCTAGCTACTCAGGAAGTTAAGATCTGAAGATCAAGGTTTAAAACCAGCTCATGAGTCCATCTCCAGTGGGGGTTGGGGAGGAACAGCTCATGAATTCATCTCCAATGAACTACCAAAAAAGCTGGAAGTGGAGCATTCAACTGGTAGAATGCTAGCTTTGAGCAAGAAAGATCAGGGCCAACAGCCAGGCCCTGTGTTCAAGTGCCGGGAATAGCACACATAAAAAATAAAAAACAAAAGTAAAGAAGAAACAGTAGGTTTAAATCAAAACTCAGTAATAATAATAAGAATTAGCATGGTACCAGACAGTAATAATGCGCTTTCAAACCAGGCTACAATTCCACCTTCAAAATCAAATGAGTCAAATTAAATTAAATGAGAGGCAAAGATCACAAAATCATAGTTAAAGGCCAACCTGGGAATAAACGTTCACGTGACCCCATCTCAAAAACTGGTTGGGTGTGATGGTATACGCCTGTTATTCTAGTTACAGGGGAAGGAAGTATAATAGCTGAGCAAGGTGGTAAGCACCTATCTTTCCTGGCAACCAGGAAGCAGAAAAAGGAGGACTAGCCCATACTGGCTTCACATGTCTCCTCTTTAACCCTCTCCTATGCTTTGCTCTGAAAGTAGAGAACATATTTCAAAATGGCCCCTGCTGCTTCAACCCCCAGTGTTATGTTCTCTAACTAAACAACCAAACCATTCACTCTTAAATTCAATTCCGTCCCATTCTTCCTTACCTGCTGGAGTTGATGTCAGAGCAGATGAAAGAGTAAGACCACTGGCTGAGGTAGAAGTGATAGGCAGAGTAAAGGGTGTGGCAGATGCTGCAGGCTTATTAAACCCTAGACTGAAGCCTGTTGTAGATGCAGATGTAGTGGCTGCAGTTCCTGTTTTTAAAAAATCCATTTTACCTTTAATATACAGATATTATACTTGTTTCAAACAGGACCTCTAAAAGTGACCCTGTATGTCAACCGAAATTAAAAATAAATTATATACATATGTATATACACACATACATATAAATATATATACACACCTACAGACATATATATAATGTATATATATAATATGATATAAAGTTGAGATCAAATCATGGTGAATACAGAAAAGATGACATTTTAAGTTAAGAAAAGCAAAATCAAATCCAGTCAATATTAATGCTGATCAATTTCAATTCCATCTCTAGATTTACCTACAATGGTGTTTATCCACTGACATATTGGGATTAAATCATGGTGAATATAGAAAAGATGGCACTTCAGGTTAAGTAAAGCAAAATCAAACCCAGTCAATATTAATGCTGATCAATTTCAATTCCATCTCTAAGATTTACCAACAGTAGTTTTAACCTCATTCCTTCCCTTTATTTCCAAAAGAAAAACAACTTCTAAAAAATACACAACCAGTCTCTATTTTTAGCTCCTGTTTTTACCAGCAACCAGCTTTCTTCCTTCTCCTGCTGGCACTATTCACTTTCAGTCCTATTTTATAAATTTCCTTTCTCAAATCATGCTCCACAGGTTGTGCTGTTGCCTACTCACTGAACTCACCACTCTGGTCATTCATATACAGACACATAAGTCAACTCTGTATCCACCTGAATCCTCACTGGTCAGTTCTACCTTGGTATCTCCATGGACTTTCTCTTTATCTCCCCACAAAACAGACAAAAAGCACAAAAACACCAAACCCCACCCCCACCCCCACCCTTCAATTCAATTGTTCAAGCCAGAAACCACAAGTTTCCCTGACTCCCCTTCCTTCCACTGCATTTAAACCAATTCTACTTCAGAATTAACCTTAATTTGCTGGGAACATCAAAATCATAATGTGATTTCACTGTTTCAAAAACTAATACAAGAACTTAATTTATCTGCCAATCTCTTCCAGCTTGTGCTCCACTCTTGATTATCTCAGAATAACAACTACATCCTGCTGATTCTGTCAGTTTAATGTTCCCATTAGCTCTAATCTTTAAAAGACCTAGCATACAACTGCCCCTTTCTTTTCCAGTCTCAGCCTCTTCTTCAAAGCTCAATTTTAACATTTCTACTTCTAACTCCTAAAGTTCCAAGAACAAAATTCTTTTCATATTCCCCAGGATTATTTTAGTTGAGCAAGTACATGTCTACTCTAGAATGCTTCCACTGCAAAATAAACCTAATTTCTTCCTTCCATTGTGCTTTCCTACATTGATTAGAAGTTTATCATATTGCACAAGATAAATTGATTCATCTGATTTATCTGCCTATTTCCCTCATTTCTCAAGAGATGATTGATTTTGCTCATGCACTTAATTTCTAATATCATTACCATAAGTAGCATTAACACCACTGCAAATATAAGCTAATACTGAATGTTCAAGCCATATTGTTCAGCCATCACAATTAGGAAAGTGTAGCTACTCAAAAGATGTAAGTGAAAGGAAGCATGAATGACCTACAAAAATCACTGAGAGAAAAGTCATCATAAGCTATGCTTTTAGATTGCCCTCAACACAACTGAAAGTTCCTGCCAAAATAGTGCTTCAGAATTATTACATATGAATTTTTTAAGCACAGAAAACAAAACTCTACTGCTGATCTTTAGCCAATCTTATCCAAAATGTTGGAAACAAAGAAATACATTGTTTTCTGCTGCTAACAGCTAAGTAGAATCCAAGTGAACAGGGTTCTCTTAATCTCAGTTTAAGGGCCTTTCAAAATTACTTCTTTCACTGTCACTGGTAGCTAAACATCTGTAATCCTAGCTACTCAGGAGGCTGAGATGATGACATGATTCAAAGCCAACCCAGGCAGTAAAGTCCATAAGACTCTTATCCCCAGAAAACTGGAAATGGAGCCATGGCTCAAAGTGGTAGAATATAAATCTTGAGCAAAAGAGCTCAGGGAAAGCATCCAGGCCCTGAGTTCATGGCCCACAACCAACCACCACCACCACCAACAACAACAAAAAACCACTTCTTGTTTTCCTTTCTATTCTCTGTCACTCATTATTTATTGATATCCATAGTGATACTCTAGGTATTCACATTCCTTTATGCATATCACTATAAAAACTATTGGTTGTGGGGCTGGGAAGGTGGCTCAGTGGTAGAGCGCTTGCCTTGCATGCATGAGGCCCTGGGTTCGATTCCTCAGCACCACATAAGCAAAAAAGAAAAAAAAAGCCGGAAGTGGAGTGTGGCTCAAGTGGTAGAGTGCTAGCCTTGAGCTGAAGAGCTGAGGGACAGCACCCAGGCCCAGAGTTCAGGCCCCACGACCGGACCTAAAACAAAAAACAAACAAACAAAAAAAAAACTATTGGTTGTGAGCCAAAATAAAACAAAAAATGTTAGAATATCATCTAATAATTAATATATTTATTTATTTATGCTGGAGATCAAACCCAGAACCTTGTATATGTTAAGGCAGGTGTTCTATCACAACTACATCCTCAGTCCTACATTATCATTTTACTGGTAACAAAAAGTTTTTCCCCTACATATTATATAATTCCTTAATATCTCACAACCCATCACTATTTGTAAAGATACAACTGGGGCTTAATTCCAAGACTTCAAACATAGTTTGGTGCTTTTTCCTCTCAAGGGCCCAACGACTGAAAAAGTATCGTGAAATATACTCCCACACTAAAAAATATTTCTGTATTTAAAATATTTTTTCTGAAACAAAAGATGAAAATAAATACATGCACTTTTTAACTGTATTGAAGGTTCCTTTTAAAAGTCAGTACTGGAATCTACACCCGGTTCTTTACAGATTTTCTTCTATATTCCAGTTTTGTAAACTATGAGGGGAAAAAGAATAGAACAATGATTCGTTTAAGTTACAAGGAAAACGACATAACACAAAAGTTTAAATCAGCTCAATTAATTATAGCTAAAGAAAGAGATCTTCAACTGTTTCAGTATTCCTTTTACTAGAGTAGATCACAACCACTGACTCTGCCTATCACTCACCCTTTTATTCAAATCCAAGTACTCTTTTTACCTTAATATTTACTTTAGTTCTATTACTATCAATCTAAAAGGGGGCTACTTTGGATACTGGAGAAGAACCCTCTCAAGCCCCCTTCTCACCTGTGCTGGTGCCTCCTAGAGTGAAACCAGTGGCAGGCTTGGTTCCAAAGAGGCCAGTTCCAAAACCAGTGGAGGGAGCAGATGTAGTTGCTGGAGTTGTAGTGCTTCCAGGAAGAGTTCCAAAACTGAGGCCAACGGAAGGGTTGCTTGTTTATAAAAAAAGAAAAACAGTCTACTAAAGCCAATGTTTCTTCAGAGAAATAAAAATTAACTCTACAGTTATTGTTCTTTCATATCATATATCTAATACATCTAAAATAAAAAACTAATAAATTTACCTTAAACCAGTAAAGTTGAAAGAGCTTTGTTTTCCCTAATAATAAATTCACATGTAATATTACTCCTAAAATTTACAATTCCAAAATAGGAACCTATGGTTTATACCTGCAATCCTAGCTGCTAAGAATAAGAATGCTGAGACCTGGAGGACTATGGTTCAAAGCCAGCCCACAAAGAAACAAGTGGTAGAGTACCAAGTAATAGAGAAAGTCAAGAGAGAGTTCAAGCCCTGGTACCAGTAAAATAACAAAAACGAAGTCTATAGCAATCAGGGTTTCAGACCTCAAAGTAGTCATGGGCAAGGCCCATATATTCTGACTTTATCAGGTTTTGTTTGGTATATAGCACATTTTAAAATGGGTATAGGAAACCTTACAATTATGGACCCTCTTCCTTCAGCTCATGTTTCTAAATTCAGTTATTTCTTAGCTACTCACATAAAAAGGCAAGTCCACAAGTGGGAAGTTATTCTAGGCTGTCTTTACTACCACTTCTCTTGCTCTATTATTATATTCATGGGCATAGTATCTTGCTACCAAAAATAAAAAATTGGGACAGAGTGGTCATATTATGGAAAAAACTAAGTGCAAAGCATCACTACTCTCTATTATGATTGTGTTCATGAGAGAACCTCTCTTTAGAGAGCTTCTGAATGTAAGAATTGCAGCTGGTAAAAATAAATGACTGAATAGTTAGAAACTTTTTCCTTGTTCTTACTAATCCTCAGAAGAGGCTCAATTTTTGCACAATTTGACACTTCAAAGACTATGCAGGAATCTGGGCTTGATGACTCATATCTATAATCTTAGCTCTTCTAGAGATGGAGATTGGGAAGATTGTGGTTTGAGGCCAGCCTGCACAGTTATTGGAATTCCATCTCAACAAATAAGCTGAGTCTGGTAGCACATACCAGTAATCTCAGGTATGTATGTGGGAAGTATTGTCAGGCTGGCCTCAGGCAAAAGTGAAAAATATAAATGAATAAAATAACTAAAACTAAAGAGGGTTATGGGGCATGGCTCAAGTGAAAACCCTGCCTTCAAACCTCTACCACTATCCCCCTCCCCCAAAAAAAGAAAATAAAAATGAAAAAGGATGAAGGAAAAAGTTAACAGCTATTCTAACTACACGCATACAATAAAAAATCTGGTTTATCATATATTTCACTTTTAAAACTTTCCTTTGTTAACCTCCTATAAAGACATATCACACCAGATATGGGGTACATATCTATAGTTACAGCTACTAGGCCACTGAAGCAGGAGAATCTCAAATTCAAGGCCAGGACTGAGAGTGCATATACAGTTCAGTGGTAGAAGGCTAGCCTAGCCTGCAATCATCAGTAATGGGGGAAAAAAAAGACATAATCATCATAAGAGAATCCAATGACATGTTTTAAAAAACCAGCCTTGAAAGTCTTTGGACTTCTCAAGGGAGGAGGCAGCAATTTCAAGCTAAGTCCCAACACCAGCTGTCCTGTGTTGACAGCTGTGTGCTATTACTTAACTATTTCTTCCTTTCCTTTTCTCTCCTGTTCCCTTCTCTTCCCTTCCTTTTTTGATGCAGATACTGGGGGCTTAAACTCAGAGGCTCAAGCTCTGGCTGGGCTCTCTCACTCACTGATGGTATTCCACTTAAGCCACACCTCCAATTCTGGATTTTTGCTGGCTAATTTGAGATAAGGGTTTTACAAATTTTTCTGCCTAGGGCTGGCTATGAACTGCAATCCTCAGATCTCTGCCTCCAGTGAAGATAGGATGATAAACCTAAACCATCAGAACCTGGATTATTTAACTTTCTTTAATATTTATTTCTTCATCTTCAAAATTGGCACGATTCTACCCACTTACGGGGTTTTAAAATGTCACGAAATTATGGAATTATGGAAGGAAAATTAGTAAGTGCTGTTACTAAGCCAGACACTGGTAGCTCATGCCTGAAATCCTAGCTACTCTGGAAGCTGAGATCTGAGGATCCAGGTTCAAAGGTAGCAGAGGCTAGAAAGTCCATCCACGAGACTCTTTATTATCTCCAATTAACCACCAAAAAGCTGGGAGTAAACCAGGCATTGGTGGCTCACATCTATAATCCTAGCTACTCAGGAAACTTAGATCTGAGGATCATGGTTCAAAGCCAGCCCACGAAGGAAAGTCCGTGAAACTCTCATATCCAATAAACAACCAGAAAACTGGAATTGGCTCTGTGGCTCACGTAGCAGAGTGCTCGCCTTGAGCTGAAGAGCTCAGGGACAGCGACCAGGCCGAGATCAAGCCCCACGTCCAACAACAACAAAAAGCTGGGTATAGGGCTGTGGTTCAAGTGGAGGAGTGCTGACTTTGAGCACAAAAGCTCAGGGATAGTACCCAGGCCCTGAGTTCAAGCCCCAGACCAGTACACACACACATGCTCAAAAAACTAGAAGTTGTTAGTAGTGGTATCATTCGGAATACTTGTAACTTCAACCAAACAAATTATATAGCCCAATAGCAAAGAGTACAAAGATGACTTAAAAATAGCTCCTACTCAAGCAACTTGCACAAGAGAAACAAAAGAAATTTTCTGCAGCAAAGAAATTTACTTAAAGGAAAACAAAAGCTACCCTAGGTCTGACCAATTATTTATGGGCTATAGTGTTCTCTATCAAGGACTTCACGGGATTAAGTTGTATCAGAGCAAAGCGGACACCATCAAGTTAAGAATGACATTTCAACTTCCCTTCACTGAACACTTAAGTAAGGGCTAAATATGATGCTGAATAATTGGCATAATTGAATCATTCATACGTGAACATTAATACTATTGCTGGATCCCTTGTCCAGATGTAGGAACTGCAAATAGATGGAGGGTAACTCACCCCAAATGACTTAAAAATCACCAGGCAGCACTAAGAACAGTATAGGCCTCCCAACCAGCATCTTAGTGGACACATTACTTTCTTTTCATTATTTTATCCATTCCTTCTTATATCTGGGTACATTATGGATTTCGTATTAGTAACTCATTCACTCAACATGACTTCATTAATAACCTCTGTATTTCTATACACCTGACACTGTCTTAGGGATTGAAGGAGTAGTTAATAACTTATAAGTTTCCATACAGTGAGAAACACAGGTATTAACCACTCATTCATTTACAAAGTAGGTATAGAGCTCCAGGCTCTGTGTCTACTGGAATAACAAACAGTAAGAAAAGATCTCTACCACTGTGAAAATTATTGCTACACTTGGGGTCAAGCAAACAATAATCTTAATAAACTAATTACAACTATGGTTACAACTAAGTGATCATTATAATACAAGCAATTAGAACTAAGTGATCTAATAGAATGATCTACCAGAATGAAAAATCTCAGACTGACAAGCTGGTCAGAAAATGCCTCTCTGATGAAGAGACTGTTTGAGTCTCAAAAGATAAGTGGGTATTAGCTAGGTACAGGGGAGGGGACAGCCCTAAAGTGGGAAGCTTCCCCCTGAGAAACTCAGAAAAAAAGACATGTTACTTGGGCAATGCTTGTCAAATTAAGATCAGAACCATCAAAGAAGTATAGTTAATTTAACAGGTCACAAGCAACATTTTCAATGAAATAGCATAAAAAATTGCAAAGTGCATCTCATAAAGTATAAATGTCTTTGCCTGAAACTGTTTTATTTGTGCGAATGTACTGGATGATAACATAAATGTTTATTTTTTTTGTTTTTATAGTGTGGGTCTACACCACTGAAATGAGAAGATGGGCCCCAAATGGAATTCTAGACTACACTAGTCTTGAAGACCACAGGAAGATCTTTATTTTTCATTTTGTTACTTCATTTTAAGGACTGGGGAAATGATTAAAGAAGAGTAGTAGAATCTTTAACAATACTATCCTGACTAAAATGTAGGAGAAAGGCTGATATAAAAGCACTTTCTTTTTCTGGGATCGTGGGGGAGGTGGGTAATCCTGGGGCTTGAACTGGCCTGGTCACTATCCCTGAGCAGTTTAAGGCTAGTGCTCTTCCAATTGAACCACAACTCCACTTGTGGCTTTTTGCTAGTTAATTGGAGATAAGACTATCACAGGTACTAATGACAGTGCTGGCTTCAAACCTTGATCCTCAGATATCAGCCTCCAGAGTAGCTAAGGATGAGTCACCAGCACTTGGAGTAAAAGCAGATTTTAAGATAGAGGCTGAATGGGCTGGGAAGGTGGCTCAGTGGTAGAGCACTTGCCTTGCATGCATGAGCCCCAGGGTTCGATTCCTCAGCACCACATAAGCAAAAAAAGAAAAAG